GAATGCTCTTTGGAAAGGTTTTTAGTTCATGTATATAGCTTAAGCGCAAAAACTTTCAGTATTAAGACTACCCAAGGAGCTGTATCCTTTGTACCTTCTAAAGCCATATAGGAAAAGGAACAGAGGATTTCCTTCACACTTCCTCCTCACAGCCTTCCTTTTCCCCTTTAAGAACAGAAGTTCTGAAGTACAGGATAGCTCCTTATTGCCCTATTCTTCTAAAGTAATCTGACTGTATATGTTGGCATAGTTAGTCTTCTGGACAAAATAGCAGCGAATGTGTACCACTCCTTGCACACTGTAAAATGCCTTGAGAGTGTAATACTTTTTTTTTTTTCCCCCCACCAAACTATCACAGTCCATGTTGTGTTTTGAAGCTTTTTCTTCCCAGTGTGTCAATCAACTGTGATAAGAGGTGAACTCCAGTGAGTTTGGAGAGCAAGGGATATGAGATCTTTCCACTAAATTGGATCACCTTTGCTTGACACGTGAAGAATTAACTTGCTGGCCATATAGTTTAGATTCGAATTTCTGCACATAACGCTGATTAAGAACACCAATATTGTGCAATTTCTGCTCAAGGTGTTGTTTTTTCAGCTTATTAGAAAAAATGCACTAAAACAGCAAGTGTAAATAGAAACAATGATATAATCTGATAAATATGTCATCTATAACCTTCCCTTGCTTTCTTCTTATTATTAACACAGAGCAAAACTGTGGTATGCCCTAGAAACTGGGAGCTTTTTTCATTCAGACCCTTCTAAACACTTTAATCATGGATTGTATTTCCTGTGACTGCCACAATGAACAACAGACATGATGCTGCAGTTCATTTTTATAAAACTAGCATGTTGGGTTTTTTTGGTAGAAGTTTTTTGGCCCTACATCAGATTTAATTTTTTCATTCTCTAAGAAATAGATATGATCTAAATTTTTACCCTATTAATTATGTTTTCCTAAACTAGCAGTCATTAAAATCAGTGGATGTACAAAATTTACCACTGCTATAGAAACAAAATTATTTGCGGTATTAAGCATTGCTGATGTGGGGACAGAAGTAGATATTTTGATTGTAAGCTTCATTCATTTTATTTTTATTTCTATTCAGGGGATTTCCAGAATTTGGTTTTACACGGCCCTGTTCCACTTTTTAGCTAGTATAACTCAGCAGCATTTAGCACAGCTGCCTACTAAAGTAGAGCAGTAAAATGAAGGCAGTCATGTATCAGATTTTACCAGCACAGAAAAATAGTAACTTTGTGCTAAGAACTGACTTATACCTTCATTTTTCTGTAAATGCACAGATATGTTAATGGTGTATTTTAAAAGGTGCTTTTTCTTTTTTGGTACTGAAAGGAAGGGTACTCACCAGAGGCCCAGGAGGGCCATCCTGACCTGGTGCTCCAGGTAAACCTTGTTCTCCCTATAAAAAACACAAACTTTGCTTTACCAGGAGATATGCAAGAAATGCAACATTTAAAATATTATTATATGCTCCGCTTACTTACCACAGGCCCAGGAATGCCCCGGAGACCCTCTGGGCCAGGTTTTCCTGCAGGTCCCTGTGGACCAACTGGACCTGTTTTTCCAGGAGCCCCTTCTGCACCAGGTTCACCCTAGGAAGAACATAAGCAACAGGTCAAAGAGGAACAGCGGACTAAGATGGGCACTGTAGGGATATACAAGTTGCAAAGTGAGAGCAAAGTTTCCTCACTCCATTTTTTGAAAAGCTATTCTAAAACAGTGTTCTGAACAAAATTTTGATAGGTTCATAAAAGATGTGCCAGCAAAGCATGCTCATCTTGCTTTTCTGAAGGGGTGAGCTAAGTTGGGCCTGCACTGGTGAGAATCCACCATGTACTCCATTATGTATTGCTACCAATTCTGGGTCTTAGTTTGGATTTTACGGTTTACCAATTTAAAGTGCATAATAAACAATTTACTTTTCATTTATATATAGCTTACATTTCAATGGTCCTGAAAAAAAATCTTGAATGTATTACCTTTGCACCTTTTTCACCTTGTCTGCCTTCAGCACCAGTTGCTCCAGGAGGTCCCTGTTAAAGATGGAGACTGAGCTCATAATCTCAGTTTTCTAAAACATTACCAGTGAAAAAATTCTGAATGTGCAATTTCCGCTGTATTAGTAAGTAGTAAATGCTAACAAAAGAACATTAAATTTCTTTCTTGACATTTTATTCACAGGATAAAAATCCCACTGTGTCATTATCAGCTCTTTTTCTCTTTATAAGATTTTTCTGGGATTTTAGGCTATTTAAAAGAATATATATCACCTAACACCTCTATGATGCAGTTAAGAAACAAATAAATAGCTTGGAAAAATCTAAACAGGGTATAAAAGCAAAATAACAATACTAATTTACATATACAATAACAGTTTTAAACTTGCTTTGCATTGGCTTCTATCTATTCACTGTAGTTTATCCACAGTTTCCAAAAGGGCCTGTCATTCTACAATGCACAGAATGGCATAAACTTCTTTAAGTCAGGTATGAGGTCAGTAAGCCTTTTGATTACATTTGGACAGCCAAAAACCTACACATGCCTTAATATTATCCAGTAAATATGAAAAAAAAAAATCCCATGACTAGAAGTTGTAAGGAATGAAATAAAGACACTGACTACAACTAGCTCTTGGTATCAGCTTTCCTGCTATTGCTCTACAAAACCTGTTTGATTAAGAAGGTAGAACTTAGTACTGCAGGAGAACATAGAGAACCTCTACAAAACATGGCACTTCAGGACATGGTTTAGGGGACATGGTGGCATTGGGTTAATGGCATCTTGAAGGTCCTTTCCAACCTTAGTGATTCTGTGAAAACAGGAGTTGCAGTGGTCTGGCAGACTCTGTGACTACCTATTCCTGATGTTATCCATCCTTCCTCCTCTTAAGGTTTCAGCGAAAAATAAAATGACATTTTTCTCCTCCAAAACATCAAGGGCTGATTTTCAGGTCAGAGAATTCATATTCATAGCTTCAGTTATGAAAAGAAGCAGTATCTAGAATCTAATGTACTCTCTGAAAATGGTTCTTGCATATACACTTCGTTTAGAAAAGAGGCACTCAAGATAATGGACCAACTGTTTTCCTACAAGGTTAATTTTTAGCCTGGGAAATGTCTTTTTTACAAGTAGCTATTTCTTGCCAACCGATGAGCAGCTTAAAGGAAAGACATGTGACTATGATCAAATACGAGGTGATTTTCTGAATCTTAAAACTTACTCTGTGAGATTCATCTGTTCAATAATGCAACCAGCAGTTTGTTATATAGAAAAAAAAAATGTTCTAAGGACCAGCAACAAGAAAGATTCAACCACTTCCATTTATTTACTGCTTTTTACTTCATATTTACTGCTTGTTACTTCATAACAATAAACAAAAAAATGCAGGCCCCTAAAAGTAAAGCACTAAAACATATTCTTAATTTTACAGGCAAGAACTGTTCTTCCAGTCAAGCATCTACCTGTATGCTTTCTGAGCTCAGGGCTTTCGACCAGAGTTTGACCTAATTGCAATTTTTTATACTAGAGCTGAATTTAGCCCAAACTTTTTTATAGCCTGCTGTATTTCACCATCCACTACTATTGGCACATACCTTGAGCAACTCCACCAGTTTTAATTTAATTCCTGGAAAATTACATTCATTTCATAACTATTTACATAGAAGAATCTTAAGATCCTTCATTTGTTTCTGAAATGAAGCTTTCTCCAGGGTGGAACTGAACATCTGCAGTACTGTATGAACCTTTTGGCCAACGGAGATAGTTCAGGCTTTCCATCAAAGCTAATGCAAAATGAATTAAATTACCCACAGTGGACTTTGGTCATTTGTTGTGGGTATCAACAGGTTCTTCTCTCTGGTATTTTTAAGAGCTGTAAGTGGTAAAAGACTTAGTTTTACCTCTTCAAAATACAGAGAAGCTAAAAAGCCCTGGGCAGGGTGGTCCAGTTTCTGACTCTTTAAAAGAGGAAGAATAATTTAAATCGCTACTCTTCCAATAATAATCGCTGATGCATATACCCCTTTATGTAGGTTGTAATTGGTTGGGTGCATTGCAGTTCACAACAATAACAAGAAAAATGATTAGCAGGTATATAAATGAACTCAGGAACATTTTAGAAACGGGACTTTTTTTTCCTTACATGAATTAATTTACATGACCATTTTCTTTACTGCTTGAAAATTCCTTTCATTTAAGTTCCGTTATGAATGATAATCTACCCTACCTAAGAAACTGAAAGGGGGTTGAGTGTGGTAGTCTATATTTGAGAAATAAGTCTCTGAATAATCTAAAAATGCAGCTGCAGCATGAACTAGCAGGGCTAAAAACATTGTGATCGCTAAATTACAAATACAATGAATCATGATTGGTAAACAAAGAGGGTGTATTCATTATCAAACAGTGCCAATGCTGCACCAAGCGCAAAGCAGCTAAATGAACTGCTCTTTCTAACAGGCTGTGATTGCTGGCATGGCACAGATGGTGCTTCTACAGAGAAAGACTGCTAATTATTATTTGTCTTACCTTCCTACACTTGAGTTGCTGGAGTGTCTGGTAAATTTTAACTGACAGAAAAGATCTCAGTAAAAATAATTTTCAATTGATGCATATCTCTCAACACTCACCACCCCAGCTACCATGGCGATTTTTGTGATTATTACAGTTCAAATTTGGACATATTGCCTGATACATTGTATGCAGAAGTGAGAAGACAAAAGAAGTCTTACAGAACCAAACTTGTCCTCAATTTTTGTCATGTGAACCTATTGGACATTTTTGCCTCCTCTTCATATTTCATTAAAATAATTTAAACTGGTGTTTATAGTTGTCTTGTCATCTGACTAAAAACATGATTTCCAACACAGAAAACCATTACGACATTTCATTAGTCTGTTAATGATGTCTCTTTCATCAGACGTATTGTTAGGTGTTCTGTGCATTTTCAATCAAGAGAGAAAATAACCATAACTACATAGATGTATAAAGCCTTCTGAGCATGTATTTATCTTATCTGGTACGTGCACAGATCATTTCAGAAATCAGGATCTGTAAAATATTAATTATGATTTAATGAAAATTTTAAGAAAATAAAAATATATGTAATCACATTGAGAGACTTTATCAATAACTATGTCACAAGGTTTGCCCTTTGTAGGTTATTTTTTTGGCCTATAAATATATATATTTAATCTAGTCATTCATCTGAACATAGGACTTCATTCTGAAGATACTTGCAGTTTTATAAGGGAGAGACCAGCGTATCTTTGGTATTAGGACTTTCTGAAAGGCAGTGCTAGAAATATTTTTTGGAAGAGCAATCGTTGGGTCTGAAAAGTAAATATATTCATTCAGGTACACATTTTGTGGATGCTGTAATGATCCATTTTTGTTTCATCCATAGATTTAGCCTTTTATTTCGATTTAGACTTCAGCTAAGTGGTCATTAGCATGCTAGTCAATATTACCTCTTCAGAGTAGGAATCTGGAACCAGCTTATTGTTCTGACATGTACTTTCTAAGTGGTATTAAAAGAAATTCACCATACTGCTTGTCCATGAGACCCTTGCTCAGTCTGCAAGGCTGTGGTACTTACTGTCAAAGGCTTTAGAGCACCACAGTAGAACAGTTTTGGCATTTGCTTTCTCACCAAATAATAGTAATCCTGTTACTGTTACCCATCAATAACTAGGAAAAATAGTTTACTCTTGGACTTCATGTGACAGTTGAATGTCACTGTAAGTATGTACCTGTAGCTGAAGTCTCTTAGATACAATGTGAAAACTCTGTTTATGTCCATGTCTTTCAGTAGAATTTTCTTCCCAGGGAAAGCTGGGGGAACCTCTTTGTAACGGTCAATACTAGACATAGATTGCTTAAAACTGAAACCTGCTAACAAACATAATTTCATAAGACTGGGCAGCGAAACTGAGTTTAGGCCAGTTCCAAAATACAGAGGAAGAGGGGAATGAAAATGAATAAGTAAGGAGACTGTACACTTGAGGAGCTCAAGGGACTAGACTTAAAAGTATGAATCCTGAGCTCTGCCAGCTTGTCATTTCAGAGACAGAAAAACACAAAAAATTAAGTGGAACGTTGCTTTCTAGTAGTATAGCCAGAGCTGCACCTCCATAGACAGCGGTATTACTACTGAAATGGTATGTCCTGCTTAATCTGGATGAAAAGACACTTGTTAGGGCTTTTTGTTGAAATAGACTCTACCATAAAAATGCTCTTCATTAGTTTTCATCAGTTGTATGTTCATTCTGCCAGCAAAGTATGAAGCTTTCAATCCTTCACTGTTTCTCTCTGGTATAACACAATACAGACTCTCCACAAGCTTGATATATTCAGTTACTCAAGTAATGTAGAATCTTCATTCTACAAAGTATTTTCTTCAGAATCCAGGAATGGGATTACTCGGCAATATTTAGCCATACATTTTCTCTAAGTTGGAAATGTGTCAAACTACAGGTGACATGGTATTTGTGTTTCTAAAGTGTTTTTTGTCTAGATACAATCAGATGCAATATATCTGACCTGTTCGGAATGAGCTACTGCCTTTCTGTAAAATAAAGTAGGAAGTTCTAATGTGATGTTGAAGAAACATACTAATTGCTAATATTCAATCAAGCAGTATTTTAGTTCTAGTGATAAGGTTGCTAATACTACCATAATACTTTACGGTATTATAAATGTTTTGCAAGTTGGTGGAGCAAATAGATCATTGTGTAAAATAGATAAAACTAATTAGGCATGTCAGTTCACTCAAGCCTATTAAATAAAGCAATTTAATACACTTTGTTAAATAGCTCTCAGCTTACATTTAATGATGCCCCCTCCCTTGTTTTTTTACAGTGTAAAAACTGCATCTAATTGCTCTCTGAAGCAGACCTAAAGGTTGATGCATCTACTACAGTTCTGTAAGTGTAACATTATTTACTGGTTTTGATTAGCTGTATTTGTAAAGCCTGTGAAGCTTCAGAGACTTTGGAAATAATGGAATGGCTTCATAAGTTACAGAAATGTCTGCTTGTTAATTTTGTATGCAGAGGGGATGACATAGGTTTGCACAAAAGCTGTGTTGAAATTATTTTATTTCAGAGGCTAAAGACACCAAAGCAACACATCCTTCCTGCTCCCTGCCAGCAGTCATGTGCCTGAGGATGATTGTCTTTTATTATTCTCACACTCACTCCTATTAGCAGGCTATATTCAGCAGACACTGAATTCACTTGGGTGAAAAGAAAAAGCACATTTATAGATAAGGAATACATTCTTCCCCATGTATTTTTCTTCCTATGTTCCACGTAACCCACGTTAAGGGGTTTTCTATGCTGTTTCTATTTCTTCATTTCTCCCATTACATTACTTAAAAGAAACTTCAAACATCATATATGGCATGTCACAACACGGAAAACAAGTAGTTGAAATTTTCTAGGACATAGTGTCTCAGAAAGAAAAATATACAAGAGAAAATGAGAAATTACTTACTCTTTTTCCAGGTGGACCAGGTGGGCCAGCTTCACCTGAAGGACCTGGTGGACCCTTCAATGGAAAATTATAAGCTCAGTGGTAACAGAGGATAAAGTTATTACCCTTACCATATGCAACAAACACCTGCAATACATTGTCCCCTTTCAATGGACAGAAACTAAGTACCATAAATACACACAGAGAAGTATACCCGCTTAATCAACAATCTTAGGGTGGTCTTCTGATATTTTTAACAGCTTTTGATACTAATTAAAATGCAACCTTTTTTTTTTCCTCTTCCTGTTTGCAACAAAACATTTCAGACCAGAAAGTGGCTGCACAGAAGTAACATAACGGTCTTAGCCTACTGCCTAACTCCATTAAGAAGTTTCTTGCTTTCTCAGGTGCTTAAGTTGTCACTTTTGCTAAAATTTTTCACTTACATCTGTGAGTTAGCTGCCCCATGGGTGGCTTTCCCTTGAAAAATCTTTTGTGCACTGATAGCTATTTGGCTACTCCATCTTGGTAAGCTGTGATACTCTTAAATATTTCAGGGTTGCTGAACAGTTTGATAAGCTTTTCTTCAGGAAAAAAACACTCTAAAAGTATTTAAGACAGACATACAGATACTAATTTCTTGAAGTTCGCAGGTAAACCCCAGTTTATAACTTACTTCCAACCATATGTTCAATGTACTAGCATTTTTCATTTTGAACCCATAGTGTATAGGATAACTCCCTGATAATCAGAACTTCCAAGGTAGAAAGAGACTTTCCAAAATGGAAACCCTATCTTTTTGCAATTAAAAAAAAAAAAAAATATGTTTAGTATGGGTATTACTGAAATATAAGAACTTCGATGCGTAATATGGGTATTGCTCAGATAGTTCGTAACTTTCTTAAAGCAGAAACATCAAGGTTTTGCTTCATTTCATCATGCCGGCTAGTGAAGATTATTTGGCTGCAGCATTCCTTACTTATGCTCAGAGTTGCTCTATTTTTAGTGGCCTTCAGCAGTTCCCACACAAATCCTTAACCATTTGTTTCTACTTCTGAAAGAAATGGAGCTTTTGCTTCTGCTTGTGACTAGAATATGGGCAAGTTCTATCTCTGCAAGGAACTAAATAGATTTTTCAGTATAACAGAAAAAGCATACATTTAGAAAATATTTTTAAGGGTATGAATGTATAGAAACTACTGATTCAGCAAAAGATACTTTCTTAGCATTGGAGAGAACATGCAGCTGAAATAAAACGACAGCAAGAACTCACAGGTTGACCAGGATCACCATCTTCGCCCTTCTCTCCACCAACACCATCTTGACCCTACAGAATTCAGAGGAAAATAAACAAAATACAAAATTCAGCTAAATTAAATAACTTAGTTTCATATGCAAATATAAAAGCACTATTTTTCTACAGAGCATTTTCCTAAAAATACTAGTTTTCAAAATTTTTAAAAGATTTCTAAACCTTTTTTTAAGCCTTAAGAAATATATGAACAGAAAAGCAACAGATCTTACAGGCAGAACCTCAGTTCCAGACAAGAAAGAGGCAGGGTTAACTAGAATTTGGTGCAAACCAAGGCTAGGACTTAAAACTGTTTTTTAACTATACTTACAGCTGGACCAGGTTCCCCAGGAGGACCAGGATCTCCAGGAAAACCAACTGGACCCTAAATAAATCAGGGAAAAAAAAAAAGGAGTGTGTCATCCATTGAACATCACAAATATTTTATGTGAATAAAATAAATTGATTTTAAATTCATCTAGTGAATTTAGTTCAAATGTAGAAATCTATATACAGTTCTATATGTAGCACAACTTCAGCAGTGCTTCACAGTGCTTTTTGTTAGAATTATTAAGCTCACTTACTGGGTTACCCTTAGGCCCGTCATCACCTGGAGGTCCTTTAGCACCTGGTGGTCCAGCGGCTCCAGGTGGACCAGCCTCACCTTTTTCTCCCCTTTCACCTTTCGGACCCTGTCAAAAACAAATGAACACAAAAATGTCACCTGGAAATTGAATGGCTAAAAAAAGATTACAATGGCAAAACTGTTTTTCAGACCTGGGCAATGTTACTCATGAGTAAAAGCTGGCATGTGAATGGGAAATTAGGACTTCATTGTCAGATTGGAAAAGTTGTGAATGTTGGGTCGAGTGCCAACATCTGCACCCAGTTTGCATCAATGAACTGTCTTCAGGGAGAAAAGCATGCATATCAAAGTTAATACTTTTGGAAGAAAAAAACAGGTACTCTCTTAGAAAGTCTTCAGCTTTGTCCTCTAGCTGTTAGTAAAAGATGTGGCTATAATTATAAGGAAATAAATTGCATTTTAAAGGTATAACTTCTTCACTGAAAATTTAAAGAAAATGTACACAAGTACTCAAGTAATCTGATTAAATGCTTTCTAAAGTAAGCACTACCAGATACCTTAGTTCACCATAATGAAGGTGACATAGTAGGACAAAACCAAAATACTCACAGATGTTCCAGATTCTCCAGGAGGTCCAGGGTTACCGGCTTCTCCAGGTTCACCCTATGAATGTGTGAGCATAAAATGATGAGTCATTAGGGAGAATATTTCTATGAATTTGCTTCATTATTACATATGAATCTCATGCTTATTCATGTGAGCAGCTTCCAGGAACTATCTTTTATTTGGCCTGCCTAGAGGGAGTTGAGTTACATATAGTTTTGCAGAACTGGAATCTGAAATATATATGAGAGAATGTATCAGCCTAAGCTTTTAGTGAACCAGGGAGACTAATCTTCCTGTTGGGCATTGTAAGGTCTGCCCCTTTATTGTACCATATACTGCAAGTTTCCTGTTTGTCATCTTTCAGAAAGTCACAGAAAAGCCAAAGAAGTGTATTGCCTGTGCATGTTTTTTTCTCTAGAAGATACATTTTGCCTGGAAGCAAGTTTCTCCAAATAAGAGAATACTAATTGGAAATGAATGTCAATGGAGTGAAGATATTATTGCTATAGCTACAGTTAGAATAAAAAATTATATAAAGAAAAACCTAAGGATAAAATAATAGCATAGCAGTCAGTAAAACTTTCACCACAGGCCACAACAGTGTACACTATGTATTTACTGGTGATGGAAATTTAGTAAAGCAGGTGGCTTTGAGGACACCACCATATGAAGAAAATCTGTGCAAGTCCAAGATTATACACTATTAAGTGAATGTTTAAGATAATTCAGTCTCTTTTTGAGATAATACACAATATTGGCTCAAATATTGTCTTTGCAGTTGTTCATTTTGAAGTTTATTATGACTGATTATTTTCCAGCTCAGTGGTCTGATAAATAAACTTTTATAGAAAACTACTCTGTTAATAGAATATTTAGCTATTAGCATCACAAACACACACATCTGTGAAAGGATTAACAGAATCTGCTTTGTGATTGTCATGAAGTGCTAAGAACTATATATTTTTATTCCAAAGGATTTTTTCCCCCACATATATTCTTTTTCCAAACCAAATAAACCTTACCAATAATTATGCCTATAAACAAGTACTTAAGTGCTAAAAATGCATTTCAGCCAATCCCCTCTACTGAACTCAAACACAGATTTGGAATAAATTTGTGTATCCTTCATACCCTGTATGATCTGCATGCCTCTCTTCACTCTATGACATTCAATTAATACAACATGCATGCCTGTTATTTCCATGCAGACAGTATAAAAGTATAAATCATAAAATATTAATTTTAAACAAGTCTTATGATGTAGCTACTGAACTTTTTTTTCATAGAAGCTAATGGCAGCACGGTGGCCTCACAGGGTCCAGAATTTGGCCTAACGTAATTATTACATTGGATGAATGGAAGAAGATCTGAGTACCCAGCTGAATTCCAGAACAGGATAATTAACAGGTTACCACAATTTTAGGAGCAATATTAAAATGTCCTTTAGAAAGGGCACTTTAAAGGGTGAATTTGCCTTTAGAAACTGTGATATGTTTTATTAGACATACTTAAATTTGCAGTAATCGTAAAAACTAATGATCCCTCTTAGTACTTAATATTAATTTGCTTCTATGATACCGCATTCATTATTTTTTAAAAAAAGTCTACTGGCTACTTCAGGTCAATAAGCATTAAGTATGTTTTCTAGGAAAATTCATAATCTTCATTTCCTTAGTCTCTGCACAGGGTTTACTGAATGTGCAGCATCGTCAGTATTGGTTTTTTGTGCATGCCTACTATCAATCAAATTAGATTTATATAGTAACAGAGAATGAGGTCTGGAATTAGCAAACAAATTGATGTTATTCAAGTTAGTAGATATATCTAATAGAGTCCACAACATAGACCCATTCAACAGGTGTCCCCACTGCAGGACTAACTAAATGAGTGACATAAGAACACTAATTGTGCCAAGTCTTGCCTGACAAGTACCTGTGCCAGTATAATCCCCTTCTAAGCTTCTCAGAGAGTAAGTTCTTTTTCTGCTGTTCTGCCTAATTACATTGTAATTTATGATAATTCACTTTCTACCCCTTCCATTGACAAATACATCTTCATTATACGATATCATGCAACAAGAGAAAAGATGGGCTTTCTCTGACATATTGACTTAGACATGGGGACAACGAGGGAACACTGTGCTCCTGGGATCTCTGGGGTCCCTGCGATAGCATACATGTTGAAATTGGCAGATGCAAGCAGCCTACATGAGCTCTATTGCATAGTAACTCCCCAATAAGCAGCAGTGTGGACAATAGCAAAATTGGAAGGGCTAAGAAATGTCAAGATGTTTCCCTTAAAGAGCATCTGTGAAAGATGAGAACAGTTGAAGTTTCATTTCATATTAATACTTCTAAATCATTGCTCTATTAAAGAATGTAACTCTTCCCTGTGTGCAGTCCTTTTTTTTTCTGACACTGACTTTTATATTCCAAATATTAGGTACTATGGAAGTATGTACTTGTTTTAGACAGCTAAGGGAGTTAAACAATGTTTTGATAGAGAAGATTGTAGCTGATATATATTTACAGAGTGCATATTTATAGCTGCTAAAAACTGTACAATCTGTAGATTATTGTTTGCCCTTGTCTGTCTTTGCATTTCTGGTAAGGATGGCATTAATTCAGAATCTGATGCACCTTCTCCATGGGAAGTATCTCATGTTCTTTTGGGAAATAGATTTTATGATCAAATAATACATTTATTCCACCTCTGAAATTTTTTCCATCTTTTGTTATCAGGTCAGATCTTTTAAAAGTTAGTGTGGTCTTTCTTAGGCAAAGCCTTCCTCTGACAATTTCAACAAGCGGAGACAGAAATTCTAAACTACAAAAAGTCATGTCATTTCATGGACATGTTTAAGTCTGAAAGTCTCCTCGAATTAAGTAAGCAGAATGATTTGTATCAGGCTAAGGACAGTAGTTTAGAAGTCCTTATTGTGACCAGCTCTAGAGAACTGTCCATACAAAGCACAGAGACAGAGTGGATGGAAGGCTGCTACCTTTTGGTTAAATTCCAGGACATGGTGATTTTGTAAGAATGAGAGGCAACTTTGCAACTGACTGGGTTGTGAAAAGGATTCAGTTACACTTTTGCTCCTTTTTGCCATGCTCACAAAATAGAAAAAAAGAGAAAAATTGTGACTCTGGAAGACAATTCTTTTCCACATAGGTATGCATATGTGACTGGGTTATATATATTATGGCTATGTGGAGAGATAAATCTAATCAAGAGAGAAATTCTAAAGCTGTGCTCTATTTTCTAGGAGGGCTTATGTTTTCAACCATCTTAGAGAGATGGAGAAGGATGAAAAGAGATCACAGTCAGTGAATCATGGAAAGTTATTAAAAGTAATTTCTTAGGACAGATATTCAGGTAGCATAAACTGTCATGGACACATCTTGATTAAGTACCTTAGCAATTGTCTGAACACAGGTGTGTGGAAAAATTATACGCACACAAATATGTCTGTGCAAACTTATGAGACATGTTTTTAAACTCAGGGCCAGAATACTCAATTGATTTTGTCCTCTCACTTCCATCTGTAATATAAATCAATGACTGATTAAGCATGTAAACTATTGATTTCACTTGTTTACTGTGTTGGACTCCTCATTAGTGTACTATTTTAAAAATTATTTTAGAATGATATAGCAGGAAGGACTATAAACCCATATGAGTGTAGTGGCTATCTAACATCAGACTTTTTCACATAATAAAACATTTAAATTCTTAGAGGCTACAGAAAGAATGCTTAGGTTCTGCAGACATTCATTTTGCATTACTCATTGATTCTGCCACTTTAACACATGCTGTGGAAGGAAAATAGGATGGAAGAACGACACAATACTCAGTGCAGTTATCACAGATTAGCTTAAATTAGAAAGGCAAACTTATTTTATTAGGCTTTGGGGAAGATAAGTGTGAGGTTAATGTTACTTGTTCTGTTTCCTCTGTATAGTAAATTCTTAGATGTTGTAAAGCATCTAAGGCCCAGTGTTGAGAAGTCATGAGCAACTTACTGGGTATTTAGAATATCTGCATGTTAGGCCTTTGATATCAACTTAGAGATAAGCATGTGTTGCTACATTTTGTTTTTCCACTTCCTCTTAACTATAAGCACAACAAAGAGAACAATCTCTGGGTGGAAGCTGGATTTAAGTGCTTCTGGTCGAGTGTAAGTCTCAAGACTTCTAGACTGCTCCAGGAAGGCTACTGGCATTTATAATGCAAGGCTACATGCACATTTGTACTGCAGATGTCTTTAAGCATTTAGGCCTTTGTGTGTACAGCGGAGGGAACAAGAAGCTAGTTAAAAATACATGTCTCTGTGACAAAATTTGTTTGTAATTTACCAGAAGATAAGGGGACTTTGAAACCCCAGTATTAATGACAAAATATCTCCTAGACTAATAACTCAAATATGAAAGTGAGCAAATCTATTTCACTCCTCAGCAGGGGTAGGGAGGATGCCAAAATGTTTTTCCAGCGCTGCATTGCATTATCTGTAGTATGATATGTCTTTCCTGAAAGTGGTGCAGAGGCCAAAGTATGCTGATGTAATAAGAAAAACATTGGGGAAAAAAGTATGTGGGAAGAAAAGGAAAAGAGAAAAAGCATGTTTTGTTTAAAAGTATGAAGTGTCCTCCCATTGCAGGAACTCTTCCTGGCAAAACAACTCTTCATGATTTCTAAGCTTGCAGAACTCATTAAATAGAACTGAAATTAAGAAGGAAGGTGTCCTAAGTAGACATGTACTAAAACATGAGAAGCAGGAGGATTGTAATTAGAAGAAACAAAAACTTCCAAAATAATATACTTGGAAGCTTCTCTGTGTGCATGCAGAGAATATGGGAAATAAGCAAGAGGAAATAAAAATGACAACCAGTGATAAACAGGCTGAATTTCATGTTTCTGAATTAAATTTGGTGGGCTGATTATCACAAATGGGGATTCTAAATCACATAAGAGAGTTACAGGGAGAAACAAAAGAGTATGAAGTTCAATATAAGTCAATGTTTTTACAAAATGACTGGAATATAATTTGATCACAGAACAGTAAAAATTAAAGAGGTGATAGAAACCAATGGCAAAATTCCTATTGACTTCAGTGGGCCACAATATTATACAAGCTGTTTCTTTTTAAAGCAGTGAATATGCTGGAATATTTGGAGCACAAGTGTTATGAGGAGCGGCTGAGGGAACTGGGGTTGTTTAGTCTGGAGAAGAGGAGGCTGAGAGGAGACCTTATTGCTCTATACAACTACCTGAAAGGGGGTTGTGGCGACGAGGGTGTTGGCCTCTTCTCCCAAGTAACTAGTGATAGGACAAGAGGAAATGGCTTCAAGTTGCGCCAGGGGAGGTTTAGATTGGATATTAGGAAAAATTTCTTCACTGAGAGGGTGGTCAGGCATTGGAACAGGCTGCCCAGGGAGGTGGTGGAGTCGCCATCTCTGGAAGTGTTCAAGAAACGTGTGGATGTGGCACTTCAGGACATGGTTTAGGGGACATGGTGGCGCTGGATTAATGGTTGTACTTGATGATCTTGAAGGTCCTTTCCAACCTAGTGTTTCTGTGATTCTGTGAATATAACTGGTGCTACCCTGGATGTAGTATTCTCATAATAAACATTTTTCTCAGTACCCTAGTGGTCACTGGAAGAATTTTTCTTCCCACGGTGCCCATTTTTTTCTGTATTCAGCTGACATACAGACTCTCTTTTTTCAATAACTTTTTTTGCCATCTTGACCAACGCTTACATTCAGACGCATTTTTGGTACTCTTCCCAGAGAGAAAAAACAAATCCTGTAGCTCTTCATGAAACCAAGCTCTCTTTTAAGATAGGCTGGAGGAACAATGTCACAAAATTGGGAGATTAGAGGGAATATCCTTGTTAATAATGCAGTCAAGCAGGAGGGCATCATGTTTTGTATGTCTTACACAATTATGGGTAAAAAAGATTGAAGACACAAGAATGCCAGTGCTACCAAGAGGTGTGCTGATGCTCAGAGACACATCCTAAGAAACAGGGAATGCAATGAAGCACTGTCAGCTTAAGACATTGCAGGCTACCAGGAAAAAACTACAGTATAAAGTTGGTATTTTCATCTGCTTGGGCTCAGTACCTTTTGATCTCAAAAGACAAAGAAAGGAGACAAAGTAGGATATTTTTCCATCAAGCCATATATTATACTACATTATTCTAGTACTCTCTTCATCACATCCCAGAGCACTGGTAAGTGATTTATTTGATGGGTATGTAGAAAAAATCATGAAACATTTGAAGATTCTATTAAAAGAATAGTTTGGTCATACTGATACGAAGTTGGTGATTCCTTTTGACATGGCCCTAATGTAAGTAAGGTTTATTTAAAGAAAAAACTTTTTAGTAAAAAAAACAGACATATAGCCAAAATTTTATGGTAGATGTCAACAATATTGAAGAGCATCGTAAGAAAGATCTTTCATTATCGCAGAGGAACAAGAAACTTTTAAGATACTGTAGGATGAACTGCAGATTTTCATTAATTTTTTTAATTTTATTATTAGTCATACAAATGAAAACAATGTCAACTTCCATATCTTGTGAAAAGAAATACCTAAAAGGTCTGTGAAGCAGAGTGACCTGCTTTTGGACAGTGATCCAGAAGAAGATCATGACAAATATAAGTGATTTTGATTGACCTGGTACTTGAGTCATTATTTGTAAATTCATAGATCTGATGGATTTGTACCTAAAGGTACAATACTGGTACACCATGTCAAAGAGAACATATGGATAAATGAAAGGGACCGGAAGTTAAGACTTCTGAAGTGCTGAAGTTCAGTAATGGTGTATGAGGAAGATGAGGGAAAAGGTACCTCTGCATTTCATTATGTGATGGGACAAGAAGAAAAATAGAAAACTTCCTTCACAGTCTGAAAAGTTATTAATACAGTGAGCTTTCTGAAAAACTACCAATTCTGACATTCCTGGGGATGTCTTTTCCAGGATTCATTGACACCAGTGTTTCCTTGAATACATATGATATTCTGTGGCAAATATTTAAATACTCAAGAGCAATCTACATAGTTCCTCAATAAGTTATTTATATAGTGGCCTGGAATATATTTCTATTCTGTTTCCTTCACCTTATGCTCCTTTCAAAATCTTGTTTCCAAACCCAAAGTTCATATTAAGACAAAATTCATATTAAATCTGCAACATTGCAGCAAAATGCTTTTAGGCTTACACATATGATATGGCTGAGGTAATCTAACTTGTTAAAGTAAACATAAATAGGAATTTCAAGAAACTCTCTTTTTAATTTTTGTGTTTGCTCAGTATTTTATAATAGTTTACACTGATGATTCAAAGAAATCACACAAAAAAAGCTGTTACATCTATTGCATACAATATTTTTCCTCTAAGAAAAAGGAATATATTATCTGACATGTTCTTTGGGTAAGATATGACATTCAAAAAAAAACCCCCACACCATATACTGGTAGAAAATTTTCTGAATAGAGAACTGAAAATAGCAATGAAAGGAATTTCGACAAATGAATGTCATGTAGCATCAGTCTTAAGTCAGGTTTTCAACCAGCACAAATCATCCTCAAACCTTTGACTTTATTGGAACTGTATCTATCTGTATAAGGAACAGATATATATTGATGCTTTAGGTCTGCTTCACCTCACAGATATGTTTACCACTGATACATTAGATAATAGCTTGTATTCTTAACATTCCATATAGGGGGCTATATGATATACTTGAAGTCAATAATGTTACTATAGGCATAAATACAGTTAAGGAAATCACCATAACCTTACTTTAATCCTTCACTTGAAAACTACCTCTTCAGCTCCAAAACTCTTTCCTCTGAATGTTAAATATTTTTTGTGATGTACAACGTGAAATAAAGAAACAAACCATGGTAAGTCAGCCATTAGGAGTATAGCTAGATCACTGTTAACAATTACTAGGTCAATGAAGGATATTTAGGAATTGTAACATATCTGTATAGCTCCGAAAAAGAATCAAAATGTATATTCATATTAATATTCCAAAATTTTCTGGGAGGACAGTATCAACACTCACCTTTTCACCAACACCTCCAACAGAGCCAATTGAGCCTGGGGGTCCTTGAGGACCCTACAATGATAAAAGATGTTAGTTATCCCAAATATAGTGCTTATTACTGAATTACTGAAAGAAAAAAAAAAAAAAAAAAAGCTTAATTCTTACATCAGCTCCATTAGGACCCTGGGGACCTCTTGGACCTGGAGGGCCAGGTGGACCCTGTATCAAACAGACAATTTGATATAATTACAATCATAAAGAATAAGTCCAGTGGGGCTTTTTTGGCCAATGAAAAATAATATACTCAGTCTCTAGGGGACTTTTAATCTTTGCAGTGCTACAGAAACAGCAGGGTCAGACTGCTGCCCATTGCCTGAGTTCACAGGTGACAGGGGATCCAGGCTATGTTACCTGAGCTGGAAATGATCTGGTGCTTAGGACTCCTGAAGATTTGTTTCCTGCATTTTATTTTCCCTGCAGGTTACCTGCATACACCTTCCACTGTGCAAAGACCCTGGAGTAGCTTATCTGTCTGGTAAGCCATGCACCATGGTGCCTACAGATGGGCAATAATAAAGCATCCAGGCTTGGCATGGTGTGTTGGAGGTAAATGTATACTATAGGTAGCTTGCATTTCAGTCAGAACCAGCCCAGAAGGCATTCTGTCAATGGTATAAACAGTTAGAAAATGTAGTCTTAGGACTACCCAGAGAAACAGAGCAAACATACCCATGTTTACCATCTTCTTACCTGAAGCTAAGGTACAATGCCCTGAATTTCAGAAAAGCAGCTCCAAGCACTCTGATGCAGTGGTCTCTCCTTTTTCTCTTTCTTTCCTGAACCTGCTTGCCACTGTCCTGCCTCAGACACACATAGCATCTGCTTTGCTACCTACTCTTCAGAGTATTTTCTCAAGTTACATAAATCTTGATATTAAAGATGAGGAGATGATGTGGGAAAGCAAAGTAAAGCCCAGAGAGAGTTTACATTCCACAAAATGTTTCATACTTGGGCACCAAATTCAGCAGTAGCTTATCAAATTGTGAGCTACATAAAAAGACAATAATACACAGATGTATTTATGGCCCATGGAGCAACCAATGGGGAAGAAGTCTTACCATTGGGCCCACATCACCATTTTCACCCTTTTCACCTGGTGGGCCAGGCAGACCCTAGAACACATGGTAGAGTAAATAAAACTGTTAGTATGGTACCTGGAATACTGAGTTATGAATCAATATGAAACAATATAAATCAGATCTACATGTGAACCTTGTGGGGGGGAACAAGAAAACAAAACCTATTTGCATTAAAACAAAAAAAAAAGGTTTTTTATATAACAGCAAATGTATAGGTAATCCTAGGATGTTTAAACCAGGTGAGGTAGAAAATTTTTGAAAATAAACCAGGCACAGAAATGCTAGGGTGGCTGACTTTAAAAACACTGCCATCATTATCCAGACATTTGGATGATTTGATTTTATGCTATGACACATATATATGTGAAGAAAACATGATTAGTGCAGCACAATGAAGTGGTATGCAAAGATGTCTAAGCTACTTCAGTAATGGGAGCTGTATAATGACTTTAATAAAGTGTCCAGTGGAGGTAACAAATCCTGCTGAGAGGCATCACATTGGGTTATGCAAACCTATCCTTAGAAGCAAAGGGTCAAAGTTTGACTAGTAGCAAACATCAAGAGAATTAAACTGTAGCTGATGCTAATACTGGTATCTAGTATAATGTTATCCCGGCTAGAAGCCCTAAGATGGGCATTCCTACATGTAGGGTCAAAGCTTGGCTTCTGTAAAAAGCAGAACCCCTGGATCTGGAGTCAATAGCATTATATTGATTTACATTACATTAAGATCTGGTTCTAAATTGCACCTCCTGGGTTCTGCTACTTTCAAAGTATGTATCAAACTATATCTAACCAGATTGGAAAGCAAGATTTGCCATCTTTGCTACAAAGCTGTCTAAAAAAGTATGAAGTATAAACTAACCATTCTTCAGCTGCCCTCCTACTTTGACGCAATCTGAACAGTAGAAAGGCTTGTCAAAATTCAGAGATAAACCTTTTCTAAAAACATTGTATGTCTCTGTTGTCTACTACTGAGAAAACTTGGTTGACCTGTCACTGCATTGTGGTTGTTGTGAAAGCCTGTTTACTATTAGATAATCAGCATGAAAAAAGACAGCTTTAGTTCATGTAGTGAGACAGTAGTTTTTCTATATAATCCTTGCTTATTTTAAAAAATACTAGACTGTATTCTATTAAGATGGAAGCCCATAGCTGATAATACTATCTTCAGTAACATGTATTGATTACAGTACATGCTGAGTAGTAGTGCCAGGGTTATGATAACAGGTAGTTTTATTACTTTCTAACTTTCTTCGTGTTTACTTTTTGTAACCTTGTAGTAGTTGAACAAATGAAATTTGAATTGACTTTAACTTTTTCCTTCACTGTTAGGAGTTTTAAACAAGTTTGTAGCTAATTGTTGTAAAGAGTGATTAGAGCAGGAGCCTAGACTTGGACTGGATGACTAGTCTTTAGAGAGATGAATCCTGCCTCACATAAACTAGATCTTCCAGTTGACAACAGTCCACTATGTTCTACCCTAAGAAAAAGACATTTAGCTTAAGAAGTTGAATGCCTTATCCATTATGATTCATGGTCATGATAAACCTAAACAGCTCATTCAACTGCTTGCAGAGGAGGTATTTATGAAAATTCAAAGGCAATTAAACATTTATTTGATATTTCTGTCTTTGAAAAGACTTTCTAGAGCCATTTGTTGAACTCCTATTTCAACATTGAAAAACTCCAACTGATTTCACTGAATCAGTATTTCATGCATTATTGGACATAGCATTTTGGGAATCCTTTCAGTTCCTTTTGGCAAGAAGTAATTGAGGTGTTTGTCATTTAATATTTCAAAATTGAAGTAAAATTGCCATAAATTGATTATAAGATAACCTAGATAGGCCCACAGAGTTTTTCAGATTTTCTTTACTTTCAGCTCCTTTTGTTAGAAACTTGCTTATTTTCTAAAACACTACCAAAATTAAATAGCAAGGAAATTCACAATTAAGGTAATAAATATTCAAAATTACCAGTGTTCACTTTTATGAACAAAAATACTTTTTACTTAATGTCCAACATAAGCAATATCAGTAGAATTTAACTGGAGTAAGTGTGATATAGTTACCATGGAATATTATATATAAGACAGAGGAAGTTGTTACTCCTCAACAGTTCATAATTACCATGAGAATTGCATTACTAAATAAAAGAAACTCCTGATTTCTCAATGATACTTCAATATAATTAGCCTATATGGGATCTCGGTCCATGGATCAACATATTAAAATTAAAATCTTAATCAGAGAAATAAAATTCCTTATTTGAAATATTTCATTTGTGTAAGTCTCAACCTAATTGATTTTTATATTTATGTAGCTTAGGGCTCATTAAATTTAAAATGTGAAAGTGGCTTGTATTGAAAAACATCACTTGAAACTGTATCCTAGATCTGAGAAAAATACCAAGGATTATTATTTTACTCTCTTTAAAATAGTAAAAAACTTAACAATTCATAACAAAATTTAGGGATCTTTTTTTTCCAAGTTATTATTTCTGAAAATAAAGACATTTTCAATTTCAAAGGCAATGTGAATCTACAAAGACCTAAGTGTTGGTGCAGTAATGAACTGTTTATCTTCCATGGAGGTTTGCAACTTCATTGTAAGTTTTGTGAACTGCATTATGTAATAGAATTTAAAAAATTATAGGTACAGGTTAAAAGTTGGCTTAGCGAAAAAGATGAGTCAGTTCACGCATGGTGGATAGAAAGGAGACATTCTATTTAATATATTCAAACACTATTGCTATAATTTTCCATTTTTTAAAAGAGAGTATATATATGATTCATATCACAGGTTAATGCATGGATTAGAAATAGTTTCAAAGTGCTCTGTCCTCTAATGTTAATTATGTGCCAATGAACTAAAGGTTCTAAACATCTTGTTCTTTGTATTGTTATATTTAAGTAAATTAAATTTTTGAAAAAGTAGGAGTTTTCAACTGTAGTTCTCTGGATGCAGCAGTGAGAAGCCTACATTTTACTGTATACTTGCTTTGTGTTTTTTGACTCATAAAATAACAATTTTAAGAGGAAGAAACATGAAACTATAGCAACCTGGCAATAATGGCAGCAGTGTATAAGCATCATGGAGTTCTGCTAATCTTTCAGAACACAAATAGTGTCTGTGATGGTATCACTGAGAAACAAACTATGTTGCCAAAACCATGTGTATATGAAAATACAGTAAATGACTAGGACATGTCAAATACTCCTCCAGGTTGAATCTTTTATTTAAAATGTGTATCTCCAGTAAAAAGAAGTGCTCTTGTTAAAACAAAAATTGTTGGACTCTATAAATGAATGAGTTACTGAATGGAATTCTACAGTCTATGGTAGCCAGGAGTTCAGTTTCAGAGCATCTTACCAATCTCCTTCATCGTTAAGTCTGCTATTTATGCATGAACTCTATGAATATGGGATCTTTCAGTTCTTAGGCAATGATGCTATAATTTATTTAATAGAAGACAATACTCATTCAGTTTCTGACACAGAAATCAAGGTTCTTACAAGTGGAGGGAATAAAGGAATTTACCTGTAAGCCAATAGGGCCTGGGGGGCCAGGAAAGCCTCGAGGACCTTCATCACCTTTTTGCCCAAACATCCCTTGCTGACCTCTTGGGCCTGGCTCCCCATCACCTCCCTATTTGGAAACAGCAACAAGCAAAAATATCACAGGTCTGATAATAACAGAAAAATCTCCACTGAAATCACTGGAAAACAACTACAAGAGGGCTCAGGGTCATTCCTAATGTCTTTATAAATGCATGTACACCACCTTGATTGAATGAAATCTGTCGTACAAATAGAATAGAAGTGCATACGCATGGTTTTAATGTAAGTAAAATAATACTGCATATGTCACAAAAATTTTCCTTGAATACCTCTTCTCTTTCACATCTGCATAAACATTCTAGCTGTTGAATACCTAGTATTAGTAAATATGAGTAGCATATACTTCTACCAATCTTCATGGTAGAAGAATTCAAAGCCTTCTAAATAAAAATAAAAATAAAAATCAATCTACCTGGTATCAAGTGGACTTTAAAAAGAGATACTATATTGTAAATGCATCTGGTACTGAGCTGATTTTACCACTGACTGTCATACAAACCATCAAACAAGTTCACTGAAAGGATGGGCCCCATTCACTATTTACACTATTTAATTTTTAATAATTCCTTAAAATTATTGCCCCGCTGTAGATCACCTGCTGTATAACACCTATGCAGGCTTGTTTACAATAAACAAACAACTGCAAGTAAGAGGACGATGATAGAACTGTTAATAGTGATTTGAAAGCGATTCCTGAGTAAGAAGCATGCAGTTCAAAGAACATCTAAGTATCAGATGAGTTATGGCAAGATTAGGGTTTGCTCTGAATAAGCTACTTACAGCTATACCAGGGGCACCAACAGGACCCTGGAGACCTGGTGGACCTGGAGGACCCTGCAACAAACAAACATCCAAAAGGAAAACTTAGTGATTATAGCATCTGGAATGAGATTAAAAGCAAATACAGAGGCAACCCTACTTGCACTATCAAGGTCTGTTAAGCATTTCTACATTTCTCCATAGAGAATGTAGCATTATTCACAAGTCTTTGCCATTCAGTACAAACAATCATTATTTGTTTATCTCTCAAAGACTCAGATTTGCACATCTATAATAGACTTAATACTGGCATTTATTGAAAGCACAGCTGTAATATTTCAGAATATTTAAATAGATTCCCATGGAAATATGAATCAAAGTGAAAAATATTTTTTTTCACAATTAAAAATATCAGACTTTTCAATGAGATTTGTGTGGAAAAAGTCAACCTTCAAAGTGTCATATAATGATCTCTCTTTAAATAGAACTATTATTATTTGGGTAAGTTTTTATGAAACAGCACAAAGCTTATTTTGACCTCCTGGAAACATGAAAAAGTCTTAAGTTCTTACTGAGCATTGGGAGTCACATCTTCTTTTATAATAAGTCTCTTTTCAACAGAATGGCAAAAAATATGTCTCCGAGAGGAACTTCTTAATTTTTTCAGTCTCCTTACAGAATAATAACTTTCTAAGTTATATTGTGCATAATTTGGGAGGCAGTTATGCAGATGTGATGTAATGAAGAACTCTGAGAGTATGGGAATGCAAGATAATAGTTTATGATGGGATTAAAATTATGTGCTAGGCTGAATCTGTTTTTTTGCACCAGCTAGAGAGATTAGGCTGATAAAGAGTGAAGCTGAGAAAGCATAAAACTTTACACCTGGCAACAGCTGAATTCTAATCTGCTATTTCAGATGACAAAGAAGTTGTTTGCAGTCTCTAGGCTAGGAATTCTAATTTAATGCAGAATAATGCTTGGATTTAAAGACCTTGCTAGGGCTAAAATTAGATTATTCTGCCCTATATAGGGAGATTAGGAAAAGGGACTATTTAAGTCTTGCAGTCTATTTCTTTCTTTGAGTTCTATATAGATGTTAGAGTATCTTATTTTCTAGGGAGTCTGAAGTATCAAGCTATATATTTCTTCTCTTTTAGAATTTTCTTTTCATCACATAGTGGATGGCAATAGGTAAAACAAAGCTTTATAGCCTCTGTAGTGACATATCCAAATGAAAGGACTCCTGGGAATGCTCCTGTTGACTGGGACAGTTACCATGAGAAAGGGAATTAACATGCATGAATAAAAAAAATAATCATATCAGAATGGATTGCTTCTACACTCTGCATGATGCTTCTACCTGGTCCTTCATTTTATAGGGCCCAGAATGAGTTCTACACATTTTTAATCTCATTTAAATGAGATTTTGACATAAAGTCTTGTTGGAAGGTACTTTGCAATTGATTAATGAGAAGTTATTTGGACACATGGCCACTCTTTTCCATTGCTCTGGAGGGCAAATGGGGAGAGACTGATCAGAATCACTGGGAGAGAATCTTCAATTAATAAAGGCACCTGTGGTAGCAGTGGAAGTTTTGAAGCTTAAGAGAGGATGTACAACAGCATAAACTTGTGCTATCCCTACCTAGGATATTACAACATAGTATTTTTTGTTAGGCACAGTATAGTTAAACCCCCAGCTCGATTCTTCCAGCTCTTCTTAAACAGGAAAGCGGGATCAGTTCTTCTTTGCTCAGGGTCCTTGCTGTGATTAGGCTCTAAATGCCCACCAAGGCTTTTGTGGATGTCTCGGTATTGTGAATATCTATTCTTTATGTCCTGTGATTTCAGAACTAGTACTTCCGCTTCAAAATCTTTCAGAACTGACCAACAAGGCCTTTCCTCCCTGCCCCAATATACATCTGTCAGCGTGTTGGAAGGAAAGCAGATTTGAAATAAACACATTCTGAAATCGTTAGGGTTGACAGCTGTGCAACTGAGCACAAATAGGATTCAATACATGACTTGAAATGGGGTAACTTTCACTTCAACTAAGCAGGCCTGAACATGGAATCCTGTATTTCAAGGAAACGTATTACATTCCCAAATGCCTTAAACCTTGAGACTGAGAGTACACAATAAATTCTCAAATGTTAATGCTGCAGACACTTTATTTATAAAGCAGGTCTGCTGGAACATGCCCGAATACATTAGTACTCACTATGGGAACTGTGGTCACAGTCTAATGCTCAGCATACGCTAAAATGGTCTGAAATAGAAAAATGCAGCATGTGTTTTTTCTGAATTTCTTTGAGGCAGAAGCATCTCTAATGAAGAGACATGTCAAAGGGGAAAACAGAAGGATATGCATGTGATCACATGCAAAGCCCAAAGTGGAACTGGATCATGACCGGCTTCATATACTTCCTCTGCCCTTTCCTTAAAATACCAGATTTTTCTGTGTACGCAGGGCCTGTACTGTAATGAACTTTTTTAGGTGGACAAAGAGGAGCTCCATGTATCTCTGTATATCCCACAGCTGGTTTGTAAGCACAACAGTGAATAGATTAAGACTGATTTTCAGTTAACTGGGAACAAGTCTGTAGATTTAAAAATTAATTTTAGCAAGTTAACCAAAGCATTCAGCTTAGATTATACAAGCGTCATTTTAGTCTGAAGCTGAATTTGTTTACAACGTGGTTACATGTATGTTTCTTGGAAAATTGGTTTATAATAGAAGTGTTCTCTCATCCATATATATAATATTGTATTCCTTGTGTTAACAGGGCATTACAAATAGTATATCATAGCACTTGTGATTTGATCTATTAAAACAGCATTGTGAAAAGTACGTGCTTTCTGCACTGGAAACTGCAGAAATCTTTCTCACATAAATAATTGAAAAGGACAAGCTTATCCTTAAAAATAAAACACCCTTGTCATTTTTTTGCAACTTTTGTCTCCACATTTTTTTGCTATGAAATTATCATAAAACTCTGATTTGTTTGATTTTGTATGTATCCTCCTATAAACATCACCTGATCATGTGTAAGCTATAAATTTCGTACAATTTTTAGAAGCAATCTACTTTTATGATGCTCTAGAAGTTGTTAATTATAATAAACACACAGTGTTTTCAAGATAGTAAATATGCACTTAGTTATGAATACTCCCACACTGAGTTCTGAACTTTCCTAACTGTGAATATTGATGAAGTATAATAATTAAAAAAATATTTCTGCAATTGCTTCTCAATTTTTTCCTTAAGGAAAATTATTCAAATAAAATGCCAGTTTATCTTGCAATTGAACAGAAACAAAAACAAACCTTTTCTGAATTTTTGGGAAAGAAACCAAAATCAAACAAAAAAAGCGCTAGTTCTTTTGTTTCTAGCTTCAAATCTTACAGTGAAAAAAGCTTATTTTTATATTTCTGGCCTCAATCAAAAGAGGAAGTGCTTGAATGTTAGAAATAATTTTGAAGACAAAACCATTTCAAATTAAATCAGTGAAAGGTTGATTAGTCCTAAGTTCACTAATAGGCCTAGTGATAATATTTGAAAACTTGTATAATCCATTTCATCTGAGGTCTTCGCTGTTCTGAAATGTTGCAATCAGTTAAATGTGCTCTGCAAGATTTAGATATTCTTCAAAAATTTTAAAACTATATTAGTAAATTTCTCTACTGAGTCTTCATATTCTTCATCATTATGGGTAAGAAGATAAAGCTGGGTATGTTCACACAATCCAGTCAGTGAAGTTACACACAGTAAGAGAATATATGTATAGTCTTGGTCTTCCCCACTTCAAATGTAGAATGGATGAATTTAAATGATATATGAAGGGTGCATAGGAATGTAGTTTAGCTACCTATTTTATAATGATTCTGTAAGCTCAAGAAATAAGAGAAATACTAAATATATGTGTGGCTTTATAAGTACAAACCTCTAGCATTGCATTACAACTCAACATTATTTTTAAGAAACATTTTTGAAGTGTGTCTTTGTTTCTGTTCATTGATGTAGCAAGGCTACCTGCATACTTCATGCATGAATACGTTTTATTTATGAAGAATGTAATGGACAAAGAAATTTGCTACTCACGTTTTCTCCCTTGTCACCTTTACTACCTTTCTGGCCTGGTTCACCAATTTCACCCTGGAATTGAAAGTTAAAAGTTAAACAACTTCTTTAAAATGGTCTCCTTCACACTTAGCTGAAGTCAATATTGCAGTATCGTTAAATGTTCTCTTTGATATGATTATTCTGTGTTTTATGCTGCTGCTTCAAGTGTGAAGGCCTAAAGGGGGCAATTCTGCATCGATCAATAGTATGTCATATTAATCCAGATATTGATTGCTATACTACAAAGGGCAACAAGACCTGGCTTTGAAGTATGGTGCTACTGAGCTCTAAATAAAGGAAATTATGTTCCTCATGTCACTTTCAGTATGAACTTATAATGAAAGCACCCTGATTTACAGACTCATCTAACTGTATGTGTGACTGAACAACTGCTTATCACTGTAGTGTACAATATTTCAAAACTTTTAAATTAGTCAAATCACCAGGAACCGTGTCAGAAAAAAAAAGCTTTCTTTATATAATAATAAAAGACAATTAAATTAAGTCACAGGAAACAGTCTCTGTGGGATAATAACACTCATGCATCATAAAAACGAACCTCGAAGTCTTTACCTTTACCCTGTGCTAACTAACAGAACAGTGCTGGATCAAGCAAACATGCAAAATGATCCTGAAAGGCACTATGTCCTAAATTCTGCCAGAAGTCAACAGAATATCTCTGCTGCATACATATTATTTTGACAATCTCAAAACTATCAACAGTGGTTCCAAATCGCTATACATTACTGAGAACATTTTATCTTACTCATTCACCAAACCAAGTTTCTAAAACAGGCAAAAATCAATATGGACATCATCTGCCTTGATTTATTTTGCCACACTTTCATTCTTGTTTCTTTGCCAGGATAAATGTTAGTCTACTAGTTTTTGAACACAAATCCCAATGTCCCATGGCATCTGTCCCTCAAACATCTGATGATAGAGGGTTTTTTAGTTTTTTTGCAGTAGGTGGAGGGAGTTTGGGGGAGGCAGGGCTAAGAGCTGCTTCATGACCTCATTGATTGTGGGGAAAGCTACAACCAGAGAAGTGTACTGACAGACCTTCTTATAGGTGCACTAATACAAATTATAATGATTCACCTTGTCACCATCTTCTCCAGGAGAACCACTAGGACCAGCAGGACCAGGAAGTCCTACAGGACCCTGTATTCCATCACGTCCAGCTGGACCTTGAGGACCTTTTTCACCCTGGTTTTGAAGAAAAGGAAACGATCCACATTATCACAGGAGACTAATGAAGAATTCAGTACAGGGAGTCACATTACCAATACAAAATAAAAAAACCCCAAACAAACCCCAAACCAGAAAGGAAACTATAAAGCAAAGAGAATGTATCAGAAAGTTACACTAAGTAATAATGGAAGCCAATGACAAATACACTTGTACTGTAATGCACAGTGACTGGGTACAAAGTTTTAATGAAAGACTGATTTAACAAACTTTTTTATTATATTCACTCCCTAGTGTGATAATAACAGGTTTAACCCTTCTTGGGTGTTATGGGGTATGACAATAAATGTTTTAGTATTTACTTAACTGTAAATATAAGAGGAATAGGTAAGGTATTCTGAGGATATGTTTAATAGCCAAATATTAGAGCAGGAAAAAGTAACATTCTAGAATGAAAAATCTGTGCTGTGATAGTTTTATGTGACTCTGTGATTACTTACGGGAGCACCCTTCTCCCCTGCAGGGCCTGGAGGACCCTGAGGTCCAGGACGACCTGGTAGACCAATTGGGCCAGCAGTTCCTGCTGCTCCACGTTCCCCTGGTGAACCCTGGAAAGAAATAAAAAATTATAATAGAATTCTGATATAGCCCTGATAACTGTCGGTGGTTTTCATGACCCAGATCAACAGAGAAGATACCTTTTATTCAGTAAGATTCCAGCTGGTAGAAGGGTACACATTCAGCAAGTGTACAAGTAAAGAAAAAGGCTGAAAGAACTAACCTGAAGTTCAGACTTAATAGTTTGTATTCAGTACTAATTTGAACTTGGTTTTTTTTGTAAGTACTCCTTCCTGTATTTGTTCATTATAGTAGAAGTGTGCTTCAGCCTGTTTTCAAGAACGTTTTTCCCCTCTGTGTTTCCAAAATCCATTAACGTACCACTTTGATGAAAGAATATTCACCATATTGAAATACAGAAGTAACCGACACCACAATCCAAAGTTTTGGCCATGTTTTGTGCTGTACATTGTATTGTTGATCAGTATGTTTCTGCATTTCTGCACCTGTGTCAAAATCTGTTGAAGTATAATGACTAATCTGATGTGTCATACATAGGAGGGTTGGATGTACGGGTATCTTTAGATAAGCACAGAAAAAGTTAAAAATCTAATATTGCAAATTAAAGGGGATGAGACAGGTGCTGTATGTGGAAAAAATACTGGAATTGTGTATTCTGGAATATATTTTTAGAGAAACAACAGCAAACGGAATAATTTTTACTCTATTATCAATAAGCCTCACTTTTAAATGAGTCATTAGCATTGTCATTACTGTATTCCTTTAATTGTCTAAGTAAGTCTTTTTTTCTATCTGAAACTACCAAAGCTTCCATAAGTGAAAATTTATTTTCTACCTTCCCTGTCAGTTCTTTCTTTTGAAGCACTTTAGGGCTTATGGCTGTTCCATAAAAAGCCAACCTTTCTTTTAAATATGTCAGTCTGCCACAGAGCCAAGCTCCAGAACCTTTCATAATTTGAGCTATGCCTTTATGGTTTCCACTGGATTGAGCTAACTGGAAAAAATGGAGAGAATGACTAGGTATGTAAAAATCTGCAGTGCTCTAAAAACTAAGAGCTACCTAGGGTGGACTATTTTTTTTCCTGTCTTATTTATGGCACTTTCTAAGAATACAGATGGCATATACTTTTAAGTAGTGCTGAAGGGCAAAAAGGAAAGGAAACAAGGTGTTCTGGTACTAAAAAACCTTCCTAAAAGGATGCAAGGGAACAGATAATAGTATAGATCAGAGCTTCCACTCAAATAAATGGAATTTCAGAGTCAAAATATTAAATTTTGGTCTATCCATATTTGTTTATCATTTAGTCAAAAGCCACAATGTGGAGTACTGATTTTAAATCCTTTTTGCAAGCTAGGTTAATTTCCAAACAGCGATCTATAACCAAAGTTCTCTGTAACTCATAAGCAAAGAAATGGTCACCTGTTTGGAGGCACATCACAGCAAGAAATGACAGGGAACAGAAGACAATTACACTGTAATTCCTAGTAACTCCTCAATCATACAGGCAGATTCTGACCAAGTATTCTTCTGAATTTCTGAAATGGATTCATGATAGCACAGGAGAAAAAATTCCTCTGTCTTGATACATAGGTTAACTGCCATCTAACCTGCTCCTTCCTGTCTCTCCACAAGAGTCAGCATGTGCAGGGAGACAGAAGCATGATGCTCTCCTGGGTACAGGCAGAGCGAGGAGAATGGTGGAGCTTCTTTGTGCTTTTTTGCACCATCACTGGCTGAGAACACTGACAAGAAATCCAGCTTTGCCAGTCCTGGTACTTGTTGAGGATTTAAGATGCTGTACATCCTTCCTGTGTGCTGTAGATAAGGCAGCATGGGAAAAAAGACAACGGAGTATTCTGTTCCATTATATTCTACATAGGAGTTTGTGCTTGCATGTTTAATAGGAAAAACTATTTTACTAAGAGCAACACAATTAACTTTGAAATTTGTGGACTCACTGGAAACTGAGAAGCAGAAAGTGCTGTCCTCTCCCTCTAAATTTCTGTATTTTCACACTTTTACAGCATCTTTGCTTTCTGTCTTTCAAATAATTTACAATTTTTGTCTCAATAGAGCACTGTTGAAGGTTTTTTTGCTGTATAGTAATATTACCCCAGCTTTTCAGTTTGATACCTACAAGATAGTTTGTAACATTTTAATGTTATTGATAATTTCATTTTTCCAACTGACATACTGGAAGTGGGGTGATACATCATGGAATGGAGAAGTAATAGGTGGTGTAGCCTGAGGCTCTGAATGGCCAGGGTTTTTTTGCATGTTTAAGCAAGATCAAATTTGCTGGCTTGTGGAACATTGGAATTTTAAGATGCTTTCACCTATGAGGGCCCACGCTTTTATTCATGGCATACCTTTCCTGAACTGACCCTGTTATCATAACTCATACTAATTCCATAATAAGATGCTTTTCCCTCCAGATAATTGTGGCAGAAGAGAATGTTGAGTGGTTGCTCCAAATATTTTTGCAAATTATCTCAGTAAGATCTAATTTTGCATGAGTGTTCTTTTTTGAAAGTATTTGTGCACAAATGATAGATGACTTTATCCTTCCAGAAGTCTGGGTGAATGCCTACTTTTCAGTCCTATTTCTGTTATTTTACTTCCTAAGCCTTCAGTGAATTTAACAAGAAAAATTCACTACCCTGCAGCCATACTGCCATGGTCTCTGATCTTGTCAGCTGTCATAAGCTAAACAATTTTAGGTCATCTCATCAATAGGATGCAAGAATAGAAAGGGAAAAAAATCTAAATAACTCATAGATCTTTCCTATATCAGACAGCAGACATAGTAGCCATAATTTCTATTAGTTCTTTTTACTCAGCCAACTTTTCACATTTATATTTGCATAATTTTTAATTGTTATACTTAAATTTCACATGAGTTATGAACAGGAAGTATACTTTCTGTTTTTAAAGATCCTCTCATTTCTCTGCGAGAATGCCCTCTGATCAAAGCAGAACACATTAAATTATAGTCACAACTCAGAAAAACATTTTAGGCAGCTTCTTAAGTATGCTCTCTCTTTCTATGTTTATTATATTTTTTGGTCACTCTGTTCCGCGATTAAACAATTCCCTAATATTACTAAACTTGTTAACCTGTGGTCTTGCACCGGTACTCACATCCTGGAATATTTTTATTAATTTGGGGGGGGGG